ACTATAATTCTCTTGGATTGTTATGTGATGATGATGGCGTAGCGGTTATGTGATGATGATGGAATAACGAAGATGATTCGCTGACGATGATGATATATGTGATGATGATAATGATGACTCATCGAAATTACAGATGATGACTCATCCGTCTCAGCACGGATGTAATACAGTAATTACGTTAGTCGCTAAGCTACCGGAGTGGCCCGGGTCCACTTGCCCGGCCGGGCCAAAAAGAAATAAAAAAATGAAAATTATTTTTAAATTTAAATTTGTATTTTAAATTTGGTAAAGAAGTTCGATGTGACCCTGAGGCAAAAGTTTTTCAGTTTATTTTTCTGCATGACATAGTTTTTTTTTCGGATTTTTGGAATTCTTTTGTTTGTTTGTTTGTTTTTTTGTCCGTGACCTTCCCTGGTCCTTGCACGGCCGGGCCGCCCGGGAAAACAGGGTGACCCGGGCGGCCCGGCTGGTTGGTTAGTCGTATTCTCGCGATATCGTCATGATTGCATGAGGATGAGGGCAATGGCGTTGGTGATGATGATGATAATGATGTTGATGATGATATTTACGGTGATGATGATCGATCATCAGGGATAGCATGATTAATGATTATATGCTTATGGGATTCACAACACGACGATGATGTGATGCTGGTGATGTCGTGCCGACAATTCCCAACATGGCATTACAAATTTCTATTATTTTACGTAATTTATTTCCTAGCTTGGCGTTTATAGATGAAAATGTGTACTTTTTTGAAACATATTTTGGTTCTTTGTTCTTAATTAGACCATTAATCATTGAGTAATTAACTAATGAATGAATTACTGTGCGTGGTTGTGTATCAGGTCCCCGGATTGGCTGTCGTGATCGTGGGTGAAAGGAAGGATTCACAGACATACGTGCGGATGAAGAGAAAGGCATGTGCGGAGGTCGGGATCGCATCATTTGACCATGACTTACCGGCAGACACCTCTGAAGCAGAAGTTCTGCAAGTTATTCAACAGCTGAATGACAACCCAGACGTGCACGGTAGGGGGAAGAAACCGTTGCCACGTGTCCCATAGTTGTGCTTTTCACCCCCTATATCACCTCCGCCGCCACTTTTCGCTGCCCTCTTTTCTCTCCTCCCCTCTTCTCCTTTCCCCCATTCCTCCTCCCCACCATGCCCTCTCTCTCTCTCTTCAAACTCTCTTCTCTCTCTGTGCTGGCGTGCGTGCTCACGTCGTCGTTGTGTGTGTGTCTGTGTGTGTGTGTGTGTGTGTGTGTGTGTGTGTGTGTGTGTGTGTGTGTGAGAGAGAGAGAGAGAGAGAGAGNTGTGTGTGTGTGTGTGTGTGTGTGTGTGTGTGTGTGAGAGAGAGAGAGAGAGAGAGAGAGAGAGAGAGAGAGAGAGAGAGAGAGAGAGAGAGGTATGTGGGATCCGGCAAGAGTGTGACTCTGTGATGGGTTTGACAGAGTGCTGCAGTTCCATTCGGCTTTTGCCAACTCATCAGGGTTTATGTGTGGCACATTGGCTACATATACTAATGGAATTATTCTTTGAATTTAATTAAAACATGTTTTTTTTTTTCTTTTCTTTTTCTTTCCCTTTTTTATCAGGCATTCTTGTGCAGCTGCCTCTGCCAGCTCAGATTAATGAGCAGAATATTCTTGATGCTATCAGCATCGAGAAGGATGTCGACGGATTTCATCCAATGAATATTGGAAGACTTTGCATGAAGGGAAGAGATCCTTTATCAGTGCCCTGCACACCAAAGGTGAGTGTCACAGAGGCGAGTGGCCTCACTGGTCTGCTTGGCTAGTGTGTAAAAACATTGTTGAATGTATTTTGACCTAGAAGGCCGAAAGGTACATCGTCCATTATTTTGTCCTTTTCACATTTGGCAAGTGGTAGAGCGAGGGCCCATGTCAGGGAAGAGTTTCGGAAGTTCGCGAACATTTCCTATTGAAGCTGTCTTTTTTTTTTTTTTTTTTCCCGGAAGTGTCGACAATATTTTCGCTTTTTCAGTTTGATTGATGTTATCACTTTTTCCCTCCACATTCATGCTCGTTCTCCACAATAGTTGTGGTCAACTTGTAATTATTTATTTCAGATTTTTTTTTGTTTTGTTTTTTTTTACCGCATCCAGTGTTGTGTGTGGAATCTCCATTTCGCCATTTCGCATTTCGCAATAAATTATTTGGAACTTCGCTAATAGTTTCTTTTTCAGATTTACTGTATGCCATCAATTTTTCCCTCCACATTCATGTTCGCTCTCCGCAATGGACTTTCCTGTGGTCAACTTGCAATCATTTATTTCAGATTTTTTTTTTGTTTTGTTTTTTACCGCATCCACGGTGTTATATGTGGAAATACTATGCTACCAGACTGGCCCGGGTCCACTTGCCCGGCCGGTCCAAAAAGAAATAAAAAATAAAAATTCTTTTTTAATTTAAATTTGTATTTTAAATTTGGTAAAGAAGTTCGATGTGACCCTGAGGCAAAAGTTGTTCAGTTTATTTTTCTGCATGACAATAGTTTGTTTTTCGGATTTTTGGAATTCTTTTGTTTGTTTGTTTGTTTGTTTGTTTGTTTGTTTGTTTATTTGTTTGTTTGTTTGTTTGTTTTTTGTCCGGGACCTTCCCTGGTCCTTGCACGGCCGGGCCGCCCGGGAAAACAGGGTGACCCGGGCGGCCCGGCTGGTAGCTTTGTGGAAAAACCATTTCGCAATTTCCAATTCGCAATTTCCAATTCGCAATTCTTAATTCGTGATTCGCAATAAATTGTTTGCAATTTCGCTAATAGTTTCCTTTTTCAGATTTCCTGTGTTATCACTTTTTTCCTCCACATTCATGATCGCTCTCCACAATGGACTTCCCTGTGGTCCACTTGCAATTATTTATTTCAGATTTTTTTTTTTTTTTTTTTTTTTTGGTTTTACCGCATCCACAGTGTTATGTGTGGAATTTCCATTTCGCAATTCGCAATTTCCATTTCGCAATTCGCAATTTCGCAATAAATTATTTGCAATCTGCAATTCGCAATCCGGAATTTGGAATTTGTAATTTGCTATTTGCGTTATTTTCAGACTACCAGCAGTGCTTGGTTGTATGACGATGAGACGATGAACAACACCTTTGTTGTTATATCATATAGTGATACCAAGGGGATTGGAATCGCTGAATGTAAGAACAAAGAATCGTATCTATAACGGAGTTGATAACGAACGAGCGTAAGGGGATCTTGTGGAATTACTGTATGTCAGGGAAGATGATAGGAGGAAGCCAGTGGCGCCTGCTGGCGACTTCGTGGTGGCAGTCGAAATGCGCTGGGCTTGACATCCTGACCGTTTTTTATTGTGTTCGATACTTGCGCAGGGCATTACCTTTTTTTTCCATAAGTTTTTGTCTTTTGCGACCTGGTAAATCCCTGCCGAGTTGACATCATGTGAAGTCTGTCAATCCGAATTCTATGCTTCAGTTGCTTTTCCGAATCAACTTGTCAATGACCTGACCTGGTTACGCCAACTCTCTCTCTCTCTCTCTCTCTCTCTCCCTTCTCTGCGTTTCTCTTTCTCTATATATATTGGGCGGCCTTGTACGCAAGAGGTTCTGAACAGGGGGAGTCTTGTAAGGAAGTAGATAAAAAAACGAATTCATTTTTCCTTGTTTTCTTTCTTCTTCTTTTTCCGCTTTTGCGCTCTGATATTCTTGTGACAATATATATAATTCTCTCTCTCTCTCTCTCTGTATATATATATATATATATATATGTAAAATTCTCTGTGTCTCTCTCTGTCTCTCTCTCTCTCTCTCTCTCTCTCTCTCTCTCTGTGTGCGTGCCTGCTTCTCCCAGCCCACCTGACTGGCCATCGCTTCTGGCCACTTGCACGTCTGTCTGCCTGCACGTTCCCCTACCCATCTGTCTCTTCGCCCATGTGTGTCCGTCTACCTGCCCTGTGCCTGCAAGTGTCACTGCGGACGTGGTGTGTGAATACTTGCTCGGTCTGCTGGCTCTTGAAAAGGACATCGGAATGGAAATAAATGATTGATCTTTGCTCTAATTTTGACTTCGCCGTCAGCTTGCCAGGTACTACTCCCTTGCTGTTTCTTTTTTTTTTTCCCAAACTTCATCCTGACAGTTGTTTGTCCTATTTCTTGTCCCTCTTTCCTTGGCAGGGCTGCGTCGAGCTGCTCGTCCGCAGCGGAATCACCATAGCCGGAAAGCGGGCAGTTGTGGTCGGCCGAAGTAACATCGTGGGCATGCCAGCTGCTCTGCTCTTGATTGGTATGAATGCCACTGTGTCCATTGTTCATTCAAGAACAGACGACCCCAAGTCCATCGTGCAACAAGCAGACATCGTCATTGCAGCCGCAGGGAGGGCACATCTCGTAAGTGCTCTGATTTTTTTTTTTTTTTTTTTTTTTTTTTTTGAGCCTTGTCAAAGGCTCTGATTTCCGGTTCTTTTTTCCTGCCTTTTTGTTTTTTTTTTCCCCGTTTTCTGTCTTTCAGTAGTTGGCCATTACTGCGTTTTTTCTGGTCCTCTCAGAGGGATTGTCAGTGGAGATTACCCCCTTCCAAAAAAGAAGACCCTCCATTCCATCTAGTACACACAGTGCATGAAAGTCGGCGTTATATACTTATGATGTGCTATCGGGTCTCGCTCCCCCACTATACATGACTGTACATGCATTTGCCCGACTTGAGGACCAGGTGCATTCGGACGAGTCCAACGTTCTGAATGTACCGGGTCCAGAGTGTGCCGAAGTGCATGTAGACTGTTTGTGTAGTGGAGCGAGGGCCATCTTCTCTTGTACTACCAGCTTCGTTTTCTCTTTCTTTTCATCTTCTTTTTTTTTTTTTTTTTTTTTCCCGCTGTCTCTTCCTAACTCTTACACGTCCTCCTCCTCCTCCTCCTCCTCCAAAGTCTGCCATGTCGATCTGGCTTATCTATTTCTACTGTCGTCTTCCCCCGACCATAACGCACCGTGATAATGAATGTATGCAGCTATTTTCCCGGTTCGGTACATCCATAATGCCGTATAATGATTATAGGACTCGACCCACCGCTATGTTTGCCGCCACGCTGGTCACCACCCACCGAACATCGGCTGGGAATTTGGGATCATAGAGTGAGCACTACCGGCAGCAGAGGGCATGCTCACGCTAGAAGCCTAGCACTGTTCTGAATGTATCTGACCGCAATTGCGGCCGGGTGTGAATGCACTTGACCCCAATCACGTCCATAATTCAGTCCAAAAAGTCTTCAAGTGTGAGTCTGCTCTGAGTGTGCTTGCTGGTTATGAATCACGGAGTGAGTGAATACCGGTGAACCACTCTTGCCGCTCAACGGGATTTCCTCTTCCCCTGCCTCTCTCCCCGTCCACCATCTCCTTTAGACATCTAAATGTATGTGACCGCAAATGCGGTAAGAAGAGCCCAACCTGCTGATATGTAAACTGTCATCACTGAGGAATCCTCCTTAGACATCTTTAAAGCACAATGCACCCACATTGACTGTGGTAGAATGGAGTAATCAGTAACCTGACTGGTGCCTACCGGCAGGTAACTGGGCCACTGAACTTGGAATCGCCCGGAATCACCCTTAGGGGCAAAGTACTCAGACTACCGTCTTCCGCCGAACACAACGCACCCTCATTTTGGCTGTATCTGGCCGCAAATATAGCTTGTATACATTCATTTTAAGGGCGCGTTATGTTCGGTGGAAGACGGTAGGCCCTCAAAGTGGCAGAATGGCAGTGAGCGCGGCCAGATAGAGTCCTCAGACATGTGGGAGGACTCTATCTAGTTGCTCATTTTGCGCCTTTTTGCGGTTTTGAGCACCTCGTGTGAGTATGCCGTGAATCGCCCTGAATCCCTCTAGTACAAACCGTAATTACTCGAGTACGAGATCCAATGTCTTGTCTTTCTTGCGTGGGCTCAGTAAAGTCAGGCCTTTGGCTTCAGGTACGTCGTGTGTCCTGAGGTTGCCTGGAAGTCCAGTCCACGTGGGAAATTGGTCATTTGATCCAGTCGAACTTTCCCAAATAGGTAAGAGAACTCGAAGCAAGTACATTCATACGGCTCGTACCTAACCTCTTACAGGTGTCTGTAGTGAATATGGTGAAATCATACTCTTGCCCCATCCATCAGTAAAGGTGAAAGGTTATTTAATAAATAAAGAAGAAGAAGAAGAAGAAGAAGAAGAAGAAGAAGAAGAAGAAGAAGATCCGGGGTCGGTAGGAATACAGCAGCCAATTCAGGATAGATTCCGGGTCGGTAGGAATACAGCAGCCAATTCAGCATAGATTCGGGGTCGGTAGGAATACAGCAGCAGCCAATTCAGGGTAGATTCGGGGTCGGTAGGAATACGGCAGCCACTTCAGGCTCGATTCAGGCCTCTCGAGGTTCCTTAGAGGTATACCGCGCACACAGCGCCCGATTCACCGTCTGTAGGCTGATTGAACATGTTCGGTATAGTGTAAGGACTGCCGTCAGATGACTGTGCCTACCAACCCTGAGTCAGCGTCAATTGACTCTGGATCAATCTCCTGACTCTGCTGAACTTTCCTCTTGCCCTGGCTCGCTCCTCGTCTCCTTTCCTTGCTAAGAAGTTCTGAGTTCTGTTGCTTGACACTAAGTTCTGTTGCTTGACACTAAGTTATGTTGCTTGACAGTAAGTTCTGTTGCTTGACACCCAAGCAGCTAAGTGCCAGGCTCAGCCTTGGGGGGTTTGAAGAGTCGTTCACTTCCATGATTGGTAATTGTACCGGGAAAGGAAGGCTTCATAATCAAGTAAAAGCGCTTTGAACATGTTTGGTGGGAGCCTAACCCACTCATGGGACAGAGGCAAGGCCCTGATGTGATGTAGTGGTAATCAATCCGGAGTTTTGCGGACTGTGGCATTCTATTGTGGAAGCACTTACAGTTGTTACCAAAGCACTGCAGAAAACACCCAACTTTTCAGCCCAAAACTTACAGGTGTGTGTGTGTGTGTGTGTGTGTTTGTGTGTGTGTGTCTGTGTGTGTGTGTGTGTGGTGAACAGGTTAAAGGGGACTGGCTGAAACCTGGGGCCGCAGTGATTGATGTTGGAACAAATGCAGTGGATGATCCAACAAAGAAGAGTGGATACAGATTGGTTGGAGATGTTGATTTTGAGGAAGCGAAGAAGGTTGCAGGGCATATCACTCCCGTGCCCGGGGGAGTAGGCCCTATGACTATTGCTATGCTATTGCAGAACACTCTAGACAGTGCTAGAAGGTCCGCTGAAGCACAAGCATAGCCACGTTCGAGAGAGAGAGAGAGAGAGAGAGAGAGAGAGAGAGAGAGAGAGAGAGAGAGAGAGATTCTGGGGGAGCGAAGGGTTCTCGGACTATGGATGGAAGAGATGTTTATGGAATTCACTGATGCGTGAAGAGAAGATTGAGGGGTTGAGATTGCTTAGGGTAGCAGCCTGGCTGGCTGTGTGAGGTAGGGTGGGGATGCTAAGTCAGTGGTTGGAGCGCAGTTAGTGGTTGGAGGGGGTCTTGTTGTTCAAATTTTTGGATTTAGCGGAAATGCATTCCGCGGGAGCCAAATTTTGTCATTTTGATCAACGATGAGATTCTCGTGAAATTGATTGAGTCTGATGTTTCAACGGTTGTCAGAGTCAGCAGCAAGTCTGTCAGAGGGTCAATTATTGTTCTTTCTATCAGAATTTCTGGGAGCTGCAGTTGAATTGTTATTCTTCTATTAGATCTACTAGTCAATCATTTGTGCACATGTTTAGAGTCATTATGGATATTGGAGATGTTCCACACTTCTTTTGTGGGAGGAGGGAGGAGGGCGGAGTCCAGGAGGTGAAACGACTGTAGGTGGGGGTGTTAATTAGATGAAAATGAACGAAAATAACGAGGCTCCCTGCACATACGAGGTTCTAAGATATTCATCCGTTAACCAGTTCCTGGAAGCTGATATCTAGCCGGTTAACCAGTTCCTGGAAGCACATACGAGGTTCTAGATGAAAATGAACGAAAATAGCCGGTTCTCTGGGAGTTAACTGGGAGGAGATGATATCCCCAGTTCACTGGGAGTTAACTGGGAGGAGTCGATATCCGGTTCACTGGGAGTTAACTGGGAGGAGATCCTATCCTGTTCCAGGAGGTGAAACGACCGTAGGTGGGGGTACTCTAATTAGATGAAAATAACGAGGCTCCCTGCACATACGAGGCTCTAAGATATTCATCCGTTAACCAGTTACTGGAATCTGATAGACGGTTCACTGGAAGTTAACTGGGAGGTGTTGATATCCGGTTCACTGGGAGTTAACTGGGAGGAGATGATATCCCCGGTTCACTGGGAGTTAACTGGGAGGAGATCCTATCCTGTTCGATAAGAGTTAACTGGGACGAGGGCAATGGGAGTTAACTGGGACAAGGTGATATTCAGGGAACTGGGAGGAGGTGATTTCCAGTTAAACCGAAGGAGAGGCGATGATACCCGGTTAATTGGGAGGAGGTCATATGCAGTTTAAACCACCAGTACTTCCTAAAGTGGTGCCCGTTAACAAGCCACGATTTTAAAGGAAACGTACCGGTCACTACAGGAGCGCCCAAATTCATCCGACTAGAAACGTTTCTATTCTATTTTTCTGGACGGTCGAATCGGGTCGATAGCTGGGCCAAGTACAGTAACTTGTGGTTTCACGGTACTGGGAGGAGGTGATGTCCAGTTAACTGGGAGGAGTTGATATCCACCCCATACCAGTCACCAAGCGTGATATGACGTAGCAGTGACAAATATGGGTGGGTGGGGTGTGAGGTGTCTTACCGGTAGAGAGAGGAAGGTGGTTGGTTGAGGGTTGGAGGTGAGTGGAGCGGCTGGTGACCGGTGGGGATGTGGGAATAATGTCCACGTGCGGCATCGCTCTGCTCAATTGTTGTGCGCTAAGCGGGTCGTGTCATCACCCCATACAGCTGCATGAATGACAGCACGTGGCATTGGGATGCAGCTGCTCACGAGTGGAAAATTGACACGTGTCCATTTGTCTTTTTTGTGGGATGACCATGCATGGTTAATCACGTGGGGCAATTGTCCCACGTGAGTAGAAACCCACTCACGGATGTGATGGGCTGAGACAATTACACGTGGATGAAGGTCATTTCGACTGGATGGAATTCATTCAAGAACGTTGTTTGGCCTTCTTGGGAATGTCAGCCGATGATGCGGTGATGGATGTGTTTCTTTTCTTTGTTTTNTTTTTTTTTTTTTTTTTTTTTTTTTTTTTTTTTTTTTTTCTGATTCCTCCCTTTTTGGGGGTATTCCTTCCCCCCTCCCCCCCCGCCTTTCCGTGGCTAGTTTCATCAAGCCAGTCTTTTTTCTTCTTTTTTCAACCACCACTACCTTCGAGCCGCTTTTTGTAGACGCGAAAAAGAACTGTTCGCCAAGCTTTGCCGAAGCTGCTTTTTTTTTCTTTCTTTTTTTTCTTTTCTAGTGCGACTTTTTTTCTTCTTTTGGCTGTGGGCCTGTGGGCACCACCAGCCACTTTGGTCCGGGGCTAGGAAGAATGCATTGTCTGGTATTTTTGTGTTTTGAGTTTGCCTGTGAAAGGTAGTGGTGGTTTAAACCTCTTTCTTCTCTCTCTCTCTTTTTTTTTCTTTTCTTAACTAAGGTATATATTCTTCTCTCAAAATCACATTTCACTACCTACCTACCACTACTTTTAAGCCCTATAGGGAACCCCTACAAGCACAGATACTTCTGACAATCAAGGGGATGCATATTGTCCCCCCCCCCCCCGCCCGAATTGGCTAAAGAGCCGTGTCTAAACCCACAGCCAACCCACACCACACACAACCCACCCCCACACACAGCAACACACGTCACACTCACCAATGTTGGCTGAAGAACCTACTAATGATACTGACTACCGGTAGGGGGAGCAAGGCGACTATCTCAGCTTGTTGGCACCAAGCGTCCGCAGGCAATCTGTGGGGATTGAACCCACGACCTCCTGAATGCCACTTGCATGCGCAACTGACTGAGCTAGGCGCCTTGCTTGCCTTAAAGTTTTTGAAAGGTCCGAGAACAGATTAATTAGGTACCCTGGGTCTCTACATCCAAGCTTGGACCTAACCCCCTTAGAACCCTAAGCATTTTTAATTACAGCTGAGCAATTTGGAATAGCAGACCCCTCCTTCCACTTTACCAGTGTAGAACCCCCCTTCATCACACTGTCCCCATCACTTTGCACCGAACATCAAGTTAAGAGTAGACCGTACCAGTTTTGAAATGTCCGTACTGTCTGTAGATAACCAGCATTTTCATTTTGCTGGTTATCTACAGAGTCGAAGTACAGATAATACATCTAGGCATGTGCACCAGCGTACCCTGTACCCGTTTCGAAATGACGTGCCTGTCTGAGGTAGAACGTACCTGGTTATCTGCACAGTCCAAGTACAGATGATGCATCCGGCCGTGTGCACCATGCAGGCAGATTCTGTCAGGGTCAATTTTGACATTTACCATCCCATTGGGCTATTTGGGTTCCCAGTCCTCAAATGTGAACCCCACTTTCTCTTTATATGGCACAGGATAATTTGGCAGGGTCCCCATTTTATTTTACAAGGGGAATCTGGCCATGACTGCCCCCCCCCCCCCCAACCCCCGCACCTCTCTTCACTGAAGCAAATTCACAAAGCCAGGAATTGTATGGCAGAGGACTAAGGGGTAGGCCCCACTTGTGCTACGCTCATGCTTGGAGAGCATGAACCTGACCATGATAACGACATGTCATGCCCCAGTGGTGCTACGCTCATGCCAGGGCCCAGGCTTTCTCAGCGTGAACATAACAACAGTGGAGCGTGGCCCTGACACCCACAGCAAGTGTGGCTGACTGTACACACTAGAAACTGTGGACAGTCGAGAGAGAAAGACGAGACCAAAAATGGCTTGCCATTGGGAAGCAACAAGCTCAGAGGAATTGGAGAAAAGAACTTCCTTTTGTGCTTTTGCTGTTCAGCGGCCCTGTTCACGTTCTTACCTGCCCTTCTGCTCAAGATGGGACAGAAGGTTAACCGACCCCCCCATTTTGCACCCCCATTTATAAAAAAAAACAAAGGGTCATGGATGTGAAGGTTACCCTAGGGGTGGAAAGTGGGGGTACCTGTTAACCATTTGTGTATCTCTTTTCAATTGTCGGCCATTGAAGAAACCATACTACAAAATGCAATGCTTTCTGTGGCCAAGCAGAGTTTAGGAGTGAGGCTAATCCCAGAGTCTGGAGATATGGACCCAATGCTTCTACGTGGATATACAAGATTGGAAGTCGAGCATTTGGTTAAAAAAAAAAAGAAGAAAAAAAGGTGTGTATACTAGATACGGCTTTTTTTTTTTTTTTTTTTTTTTTTAAAGCACCAGTACCTTTCCCGCGTGGGAAAATAGGGAAAACTGGCAGTTTTCCCAAGCCCTGAATTTCCGGAGGTCAGGCCCGACGACGACTACCGTTGATAAATCTGATCGGCGGCCAATGCCCTGGGGCCTGGTCCCACTAGCAGCTGTTTAGTTTAGAAATGTAATACAGTGGGACACGAGTGACACACTTTGGCCATTGGATGTAACAGATCGGACGCCCAGTCATGGTCATGGGCGGTTTAGAAGAATGCAATAAAATGTTAAAGAAAATTCAAAGAAAGGCAACAAACAGAAAAGAATAGTCTCTTAACACTGGCAATGCCCACACAATCCTTTTCCCGCCCAAAGGCCCGCAGTCTTTGATTCTAGCCTACCAAGCAGTAGGCTAGAAACAAGGACTGCCTCCTGTGTGTGAAGAAAGCTGTGGTTGGTCTGTCAGTCGTCAGATTCAACTGTCAGGTCTCTCTTTACTTTTTCTCTCTCAATGCAAATTTGATATAGCACATCTTTGTCAGGCAGCCCACTAATCTAACGGCTGCACAAATTTTAGCTTTTCTTTTCTTTGCTGTCCTGGCTGTCACACAACTCCAAAACTAAACTAAACCTCCCTCTAGTGGGTCCAGGCCCCTGGGGCACGGTTCCACTAGCACAAGAGTCATGGCCTGGTGCGACGCCTGCCACACTCCAGAAAAACGAAGAAAACTCCAGAAAAACGAAGAAAAGGGAAAAAAGAAAATTAAAGTGGTGACTTCTCAAGTCCCAAGGTGGGGACGAGCCCGACCTTTGGAAGTGCTGCAAGAGGCTGTGCCATCTTCTTGAACCGTAGAATGGACAATGGATGAATGTATCCCTCGCAGAAAGTAGCCAGATTCACTTCTTCCATCTTTCTTTATTGCCTGAGGGTGCACTTATGACAAGTGCTACGTGACGATTGCAGTCCGAGTCTCACGTACCACAGAGAGGGAGTGGAGTCCCTTGGTGTGCCCGACGGGACTGCCTCCTGTGACGGTTCCCATGCTTGAAGTCCTTATATTTTGAGAAAGAAATTAAGTACTCGAGGGGCTTTCTATTGACCGGAAAAGAAAGCACGGTCAATATGAACCGCTTAGAGTACTTGATTTATTTTTTTTGTTTTCGACAACTACCAATCAAAAACAGACTTGGTATTTCTTTTCCCCACATCCTGTTATTCACCAAAAAAAAACAAACAAGAAAAAGTAAATTAAAACACAAATTTTAAATATACACACATCTTTATTTTGCTACCCTCGGATTTCGATGCAGCAACGGCTGGTGGATGTCCCCCGGACGTCCCACAGGTGTCGCCGTGCGACAATATACCTTACTCGGTTGCTAGTGGACCCGTGCCCCTGGGGGGTACCCTTCGCGGCTGGGCTTTCGACCACGTGCGGCCTGGGGTGACTCACGCCAGCCGCAGATCGCCATCCACATCGACTGCCGTCATGTTTTGTAGTCGGGGAAGGCCGTCGTAATGGCACCCGGCCAGTAGGAAGTTTTAAAAATCTTTTGTGCCTGTTTTTGTTCGCCACATTCCGTTGGCGCGAAGCTTCAAAATCAGTGTTTTTTTACCCATGGGGTGATTTTGAAGCTTCGATTTTCCTTATTTTGTCGATGAAAAATTTAGAAAAATGTGGGATTCGGAGTCCTTCGGCTGTCGTTTGTGCGCAGTGGCCACGAAACACGGCGCGAAGAGATGTGCCAGTGTTGTCTTGTGGGTTCCTAGCACACAGTCCGAAGGCCGCGCTGCACTTACATACCGAGAGCAGCGGCCGCACATGCCCACAATGTCCACCCGAATTCATCTGGGGCGGCGGCCAGCGGGGTCACATGCGTTCCATCGTTTTGGGTCCGGTGTCATAATGAGGGATGGCAGTCATAATTGCCGGTTACTTTTTTTTTTTTTTTTTTTTTTTTTTGGGGTGATTACAACTGTCTAGATTCTTCTCTCAACTTCTGTTTGTTTACCTTCCAGTAACTACTCCTAAGACTATCTAGAGGGGACCCCTGCAAGCATAGTTTTCCTCTCTCTGTGAAGGGGAGATTTCATGTTGCCCCTTGCCCCTAATGGTTAGGGTATAGGGTTGGGGCTGCCAGTGGGGGTCTGGCTAACACAAAGACTGAGACCTGCCAGTAGCTGTGCCTCACTGCCTCCCTTTCTCATCGTCCCCCACCCTTCATCGAGTAGCAGCAGAGGTTATGGCTAACACTCTCCCACACACCACACACAAACCACTCGCGCTCACACTCACACCCGTGTTGGTCATAGACCCCACTAATACCGATCAGGGGTATCCATAGGACTATCACAGTCCGTTGGCACTAAGTGCACCGCAGGCGGCCATGGGGCTTGAACCCACCACCTCCTGAATGCCACTTGCATGCCTAACCAACTGAGCTAGGCCATTTTTGGTGTTCATCGCCTAAAACAAAAAATGGACGAAAACAATTTCTGGACATTTTTGTTAATGCTGAAAAAGTGCCAAACACCGATTTACGCTTCGCGAGTGGGTCGAGGCACCTGACAAGAAAGGACACCAGTACTTCCTAAAGTCTCGTAACGTTAACGCTATGCAATTTTAGGAAACGTACGGGCCACTACAGGAGCGCCCAAATTCATCCAACTAGAAACGTTTCTACTCTATTTTTTTTCCGCGGCTGATAGCTGGGCCAAGTACTGGTGGTTTAAATGATGCTATTTTTCCAGAGAGCTGGCAAGG